GTCGGATCTCCTTAACAAGCGCTGCATGTGGGCCGGCATAGTTCTCGGGCCCGAAGACCAACTGGATCACGCATTGGCTATCCACCTCGGCAATTAGTTTACGAAATCCCAAATCCCATGCAAGCCGGAGTCCATGAAAGAGACCCCAAAGTTCTGCTCCCCTGATGGTACAAGCCCCAATATTCATGGTAAAGCCATCAATCCAACGGCCTATCTCATCCCGGATTAATCCACCGGCATTGTCTAGCACCGTCGAAGAGTCAAAAGCCCCATCCGTATTCAACTTCCACCACCCCTCCGCGGGCAGCCGCCAACCTACAAAGCGGGTATCGTACGTCACGGCGCCTACTCGAGCGAAAGACGCGTGCGAGTCTATTTAAACTCAATACATTCACGAATCATATATAAAAATAATATATATATATATATAAAGGTTGTTCTTAAAATACCTTTTTAGAAACTTTTGACCAAAGAAAAAAAAACTTCGACAATCTAAATATAGAAACCATATTTACTGCATTTATAATATACGAAATTTTTAAAAAGTCATACTTCAATTCAAAATTTTGTTTATTAGAGATATTATTGGGACAGTCGATAAGTCACAATTGGATCCATAATTATCATTACATGATTAATTCAAAAATTAATTGGTTAGAGATATTATAGGGATATTTGGATAAGTCACAATTGGATCCATAATTATCATTACATAATTATAATTATGCGAATATTGAGTTCAAAAATGGTTTTGGTATAAAATCATATGCACTACCACTACTCAACAAAATTCACGTCATTCACAGTTTAGAAAAAAAAAGTTCACGTCATTCACAGCAGAGAAAAAAAAAGAACTGAGATAAATTGTATAGAGAAAAAGAAAAAAAGAAATAAATTTCAGAACACATTGATAATAAATGCCGCCAGTCTGGGATACACTCGATTCAGTGAGTAGGAGAAACAAGCCTTTTTGCACTTGAAAGCAGTCCTAATAGTTGAAACGCATCACCAACGGGATAGCTAGAACGCATTCCATATACTGTTTCATGATGAACAGGTAAATATTTTTATTTGTAATATCAAATTTATGTAATTTTAAAAAATATTTTAATTCATATTTATAAATTTATATTGTAGGGTACATTCATTAAAGGGATAATACGTTCCAAACATATGGGAGCATTTCGAGGTGTACTGAACGAAGGCGAGGTGTATGCGATCAACAACTATGTCGTTGAATTTAATCATGGGAAGAAGGATATCATAACCAACATATGGAAACTTGTGCTTCATGGAAGAACTCATGTTATCAAATATGGTGGGATTTTCCCTCAAAATATTGATATTTTCCCTCAACATTAGCAAGGAGCAGGGGATATTTATGATACTTAGAGTTTGATTATTATGAATTTTAATTTCATTCCATGTCGTTGAATTCCGAATTCTATAATAAATTTTAGTGTTATTATATTTGTTATCCTTATAAAAGGTCGTTGGATATTTTTTTTTTATTAAATGTCGCATGAATGTGAAAATTTCCCGTGTCATTTTATTTTTGACTTCTACTGTATATTAGTTTAAAATTGGTATAATGTCATGATATAAGATATAAATTAATACAAATTTTAACAAATATCAAATATAAGATTACATAAAAAAATACAGAATTAACAATAACTGAATTAAGTACATTTAATGTATTATATTGCCTGATTTTTCAATAATTTATCATATGGGTTATATTCATAAATATGAATATGAATTTTGATTATATTATTTATATTAATTTGTGTTATATATAAATTATTATTATTAAAATTTTGACGTAAAAAGATGGAAATATTTGTTTGACCTAAAATTTTGACGTAAACAATTTTTGACGTAAAAGATTATAATATTTGTTTGATGTAAATTTTTGACATAAAAAATTTTTCAACAATTTTTTTTGTATCACATTGGTATGGACCGAAATTTAATGGAAAGATGGTAATTATGTAACGATGGTATCACACAAGAATCTCCACTTCTTAACTACTTTGCACTTATCTTATCATCATACATGATAAGGTTGAAAATTAATATACAATATTTAAAATTGGTTTAGGTTTTTATTGACCGAGTATTACTCTTTGAATTCCATTTGAATTCAAAATTGCTGTATTTTTTTTTTAAACAAAAAAATTTACGGAATTAACAATAACTAAATCAAGTACATTTAATGGATTATATTGCGTGATTTTTCAATAATTTATCATAATGGATTATATTCATAAATATGGATTTTCATTATAACATTTATTTTAATTTGTGTTATATATATTATTATTATTAAAATCTTAACGTAAAAAGATGGAAAGATTTGTTTGAATTAAAATTTTAACATACAAAAATTTTTGACGTAAAAGATTATATTATTTGTTTGACGTAAAAAAAATTTTCAAGAATTTTTTTTGTATCACGTTGGTATGGACCGAATTTTAATGGAAAGATTGATGGTGATGGTAATTATGTAATGATGCTATCACACAAAAATCTCCACTTCTTAACTACTTTCCACTTATCTTATCATCATAAAAATTTCGGTCCATATCAACGTGATAATCATTTGTGTTTGGATTGACCGAAATATATTCCATTTGAATTCAATGTCATTCATTTAAAAAACATAACAAATAGCGAGTCCTATGGTGGATAAATCATGAGAGTTAACAATCTGATAAATCACGTTTTACTAATCTTATCATGATATTAGAGTTTGAATTTATTGGAACTCTGAAATTAAAATCACGTGCAAAGATCTTATCAAGAGAGATTAACGTGAGTCCAACTAATCTTATCATCTAATAGTTATCTACTTTCATCCCATGGCTATAAAATAAACGTCAGAGCCTATATCACGTATCAGAAAAATCTCACACTACAATTTCACATACAAACAGAAAAATGGCGAGAGCATGGGGAAACATCAAGCAAGTAACAAGGACCAACAGGCCAATGCTCAAGTTGAGGGTGGTTCGAGTTTTCCAAAGGACTAATCAATACTCATCCTACAAGAACATCCTTGAAATTGTCTTCATGACATTGAGGTTTAATTCATAATAAAAAATGATGATTATCCATTTTTCTCATCATGTTAATTATAATATCTAATATCTAATATTATTTTTTTTTTTTTAGGGAGGTCGAATTACTGGAATAGTAAGAGAAATCAACATCCCAACTTTCATCAATGAATTCGAAGAAGGTGTTGTCTATGCATTTCGAAACTATCAAGTCGAGAGTAATATCGGAATGTATAGATCCACCATTGCACAATACAGGCTTATACTACATGGTAGAACCGAACACATAAGCTACAAGGGTGACTTTCCAATTTTCCGTTTTGACTTTCGAAGGTTCAACACATTGATTGATATCGAGAAAATCGACGAATCAATGCTATTTGGTAACTGCATTTTCACTTATTTAATTTTTTGCATAAGCCTGAGTTTTTTTATAGTATCAAGTGTTCCGAATACCGAACCATGAGTTGTATTTGAAGATTGGAACTCCAGTCATGTTGTTGCGGAACATGGATCATTCTATGGGTTTGTGTAATGGGACACGATTGGTAGTGACAAAGTTATCGACTCACGTTCTTCAGTGTAAGATACTCACAGGAGATCATGCTGGTGATAAGGTGTTGATTACAAGAATGGAAATAACTCCTTCTGATGTTAGAATTCCTTTCAAGTTCCAGTGGCGACAGTTTCTCGTTATGGTTTCTTACGCCATGACTATAAACAAGAGCCAGAGACAATCCTTATCTCATGTTGGCTTATTTCTTAAGAAACCAGTGTTCAGTCATGACCAGTTATATATTGTTGTTTCCCGTGTCACTAATCGAAAATGTTTGAAAATCTTAATTTGTGGCGAAGATGACGTGCCAAAGAATCAAACCAATAGTGTTGTATATTGGGACGTGTTCAATAATATATGATTTTTTAAATTTAATGATATGTTTATATGTCTATTATTATGATCATGATCATTGCCTGCATAACACAATTTATATACAAAATTATTTTTTAAGAACATTATAGATAATAATATCTAGGGCTGGTATTTTTTAACCGAAAACCGAATCGAACCAAACCGAACCGACAAGAAAATATACCGAACCGTACCGAACTGCTTGTAACGGTAACCGATAGTCGGTTACCGAATCACTATCGGTACGGTATCGGTTTGAACCCGTAAGAGTTCTGTAAAACCGATACCGAATCGATAAGGGTAAAAAAAATAAAACAAAGATTTTTTTTTAAATATTAAAACAATGATTAGTTGTTTAGTGTTCAAAAATTGAAATAAGGGTTCAATCCTACCTAAATCTCAAAATGACGAGAAAAATATCATTACTCATCGCCTCATTCACCTTCTAATCGGAACATTGTTGGTTTACCAGTCTCACTTCTTCTAAAGAAGATGCATGCTACCGTTACTGTAGTCTATTCTCGTACCACCGTTACTAGATAAATTAGTTGAAGTTGTATCAAAAAATTTATTTCTTGCATGTTAGGAGTATATAGTTTTATTAGTTGCGTTTACCACAAAAACCATAATCTAATAATATATAAACTAACTTCTAGACATTAAATTAAGCTTTTTAATCCTTCAATGGATTTGTGAGTCTTTTGTGTGTATTTAATTGGTAAGAAGTGAAAAAAATTACAAAAATGACAAGAAAAGTAAACACTAGCAATTTTTTTTTTT